ACGCCCCCCAACCCCAACCCCAACCCCAACCCCAACCCCAACCCCAACCCCAACCCCAACCCCAACCCCAACCCCAACCCTCAAAAACCAACCCCTAACCCCTTAACACAAACCTAAACTTTTACACCGTTTTTATTATAAATTATATTATCATTTAAATAATATGTTCTATTTTAATATATATTTATTTAATAATTTTTTATTTTATAATTTTAAATAATATTAATTAATTTTTTTTTTTTATTATTTTAATTTTTTATTTAATATCTAATAATATAATATTTTTTATTTTTTAATTTTATATATTTAATTAATTAAATTAAATATATATAGTATATTTTTATATTTTTTAAATAATTTATTTTATTTATATATATTATTTATTTTTATAATATAAATATATTTTTTTATATTGAAATATTTAATATATTAATTTATATCTAATTTATATAGAATTTTTATTTTATTCTTTTAATTTATTAGTGACTTAAATTATTATTTTATTTACGTAAAATTTTTAATTTTAATTAAATATCAACAATATATATTATAATATACCAATTATAATTAATAAAGGATTGCTATTTAACATATTAAATTTAATTTAATATTTTTATAACATACTTTAATTTTATATATTTTAAATAAAAAATATTAGTTAATTCAAATCATTTTAATATATTTAATATTTTTTATTATTTTATCAATTATATTTACATTTATTATTTTCTTAAAAGTAATTATTTATTAACTAAAAAAAATATATTTTCTAATAATTTCTTAATATTTTAATTTGATTGTCTTTATATTTGGATTTATTTAACTTTTTATTTTTAATATTGTAAATTTTTGTATTTTTAATTAAATACTTTTATATTTATCTTAATTTTTATCAACAATAATATTTAGTTTTTTATATTTTTAATTTCATAGTTTTTATTTTATTAATATATAAAAAAATTGTTAACAAAATATGGTTAGAGATAAGAATAATAAATTTTTTACATTCTAAATTAATGAGACTTACTTATCTTAATAATTTATAAAAAAGTATTTTTTAATTTTATATGCATTATTTTTTTTACATTTATTGTGAAAATTACTTATAAATATTATTATAATTATGGTTAGAATTAATTTTATTATACTTTAAAAAATTATAAAAATAGATAATATTTATTCAAATATATATGATAAGAATAATTAATAGAATCCATTAAATATATATAAATTATATAAATCAAATATTTAAATAAATTTATATATAATTATTTTGAATTTAAATATTATAAAAATGTACTCTGATCTCTGATATATTTTACTTAGCCCTTTTTAAATACTTCTGACTAATAATTTTCTTTATACAATTATATTAATATTAAGAAAATATTATTTTATTTATTAAAAACTGCTTATTTTTTATAATAACAATAATAATTAAATGAACTTCTATTTGTTTTGATCATATTCATAATATAAAAATTGAATTTTATCTATGATAATTAATTAATTTGATTCTATATTTATTAATAATAAATTTATTATAATTTATAGAATCGTTAATTATAATACTTATAATTATATTAAAAAAAAATATTTTTAAATAATAAGTATAAAAAAAATTTAGTTTTCTTAAATTTTTAAAATAATAAAATATACTTTTAATATATTAACAATAATATTTTATTTTTTTAAATCAATTAGCTTTTCAATTTTAGTTATCTATATTATTCTAATATTCTCTAATTTAATTTTATATCCTCAAAAATATTTCCATCATTTTACATATATCTATTTTGTTTTCAACCCTAAAAAAAATTACAAATAAAATTATTTTCTTTAATATTAATTTTTTTTACTATTTATCCCATGACTAACACACTACTTATTCACTATTATTATTTAAATGTGTGCTGTTATTTTGTATTAATTATATTCTTCTCTATAATAAATTAAACGAATCACCTTAAGGCAATATCATTGATAATCCTTATAAAGATTTTAACAAAAAAGGATATTTTGAATGTTCTAACAATTACAATCTCAAATCTATGTATTTTAATATTATATAAAATACTTATTTATATGTATTACATGCAAAAATAGTAGATTCTAAAAGATTTACAAGTTAACATATTTATTATAAGATTTCCTTATCCAATTCAATATTAGAGCTTTTTTATTTTATAGTTGAATATTTAATAATATATAAAATACAAATTCATTATTATTTAATATGCTAATTCATATTCTTAAGTTAAAAAGCATAAAGTGATTGCAGAAACTGGATTATAACACCTTTTTAAAATAATAAAATAATCATAACAAAAAAAAAAACCAAGTTTCAAAAATATCAATAAACAATTACATCTATTATTTTGATAAATTTTTCTAAAATTTAAAATTGAGGAAAAAATTTCTTAGTTTTTTTAAATCCTTTTTTTAACATTTTTTTTTAAAAAAATCATATTTTTTAAAAATAAAGCTAAAAAAACCTTATCAGTAATAAGAATAAAATCAAGTGATCTAACAAAAATAAAGACAAATTTAATATTTTAATCTTTCCTTAATTCTAAAGCAATAGTTTTAAAGACTTCCTCCGGACTTAAAATATTACATAACTATTTAATAATAATATCAAGTTTTTTTAAAATATCTTAATTTTTGGAGCAAGCATTAAGTATTTCTCCAATAACCAAATCGAATTTATTTTTATTTTTTAAAATGTTTCCTAAAACTTCCATTATATTTTCTATCATTAGTTCTGAATCATACAATTTCTAAATTAATAGTTTTAGAACTTAATCAATTTACGGAAATTCGCTTTTATTGTAAAATTTTAATAACTACCTCATCCATACAAGGGCATTTTAAGCTGTTGCATTTCTTTTTTCGTTTAACATTTATTATAAAAATGGCATTGCTTTACTAAATGAATCTGATTTATCTTTTATCTTTTCTAAAATAATTAACATTTGCTTATTTATTTTTTCTGCAGAAAGCCTTATTTCAACTTATTCATTTGATAGTAAATAAAGAATTTATTGAATTATTTCTGGAATTTTTTTCAATACAGCTTCAATAGCTGATGGATATTTTTCTTAAAGTTATTTGTCTTCGATTTAATTATAAGTATGTTTAGCATAATTCTCTAACATCGTTAAATATTCATGAATATACCAAATACAATTTATCTAGCAAGTCAAATTTTACCTTTATTTTTTTTCTTCTCCAGCTCCAGAATACGGCCTTATCATTTTTATTAAAATATCAAGTATTTAAAAATGTATTTCTATAGAAATTTCATCGTTAATGCTCATTATAGAAGATTAACTTTATATATCTTATTGATAATTTCCCTACTTACTTTTAATATCTTCAAGAAAACTCTTCAAACACTATTCTGAAATAAGACGTACATCCTTTATATCGTGAGATGTGAAAAAAAATAATTACTCTAAAAATAAAGGCAAATAATTTATCATGTTTACACCTGGTATTGAATCTAAAGTTTTAATCCAATTTAATATCATTTATATAATCACAGGATTCTAAGCTATTATTTTCTTATTTATTTAATCTATTATTTCTTTTACTTTTAAATCACCTCTATTTAAAAATAAATATGTACATAAAGTAAATATGTTTATATTTTTTTACTTTTAAAAATCAGATGCTTATACTATTGTTCTTAATTTATTATCTAATGCTTATGCAGCTTTTCTTACAGCTTATTTTAAATTTAATTTAATATTTTTTTTTTTTCAATAAAATATATAACTTTCTTCTAAATCTGCTACTTTTGTAACTAGATTTTCAAATATATCTTTAAAATTTATTAATATTATTTCTTATAAGGCAAACGACATATGATAAAGACCTTCTAAACTTGCATATCTTATTTTTGAATCGCTATCGTCCATTAAACTAATTAAAGGATTTGTTAATGGCTTTGCAAGTTTTCTGGCTTATTTATCCTTTATTATTTAAACAATTATCTTTATTTATTTTAAAAAATAAATGTACATAATCTCGAAGTACCATAGCTATTTATACCAAAACTTTAATACATGTTTTTTTATCGTTTGGCTAATTTGGTTTATTTATTGAATTTACAAAATATTAAATTAATTTTTCTATTTATACTATGTTTTGGTTTTGAGAACTTAATGTTCTTTTAACCATTTCACTTATATCTTCAAAAGCTTTGCTTTTTTTTTCATTTTATCTATTTTTAAAATCAAAAATTATTAGTCTTTAAAATAAAAAATTGGAAACTTAGAATTTAAATTCTCTAATAATTGAGGTGGAATTTATATTTCGCTTTCTTGGTTCATATTATTTATTATAAAAAGATGATATAAAAAAAATTGTTTATAGATATAAAAAGTAAAAAATATTATGTTTATATTTATAAAAAGAAATATATTTTTATTTAAATAAAAATAAAAAAATTATTATATTTATTAATAAAAAAAAAATAGTCTTTAATAATAATTATGAATTTTTAATATTTATATAAAAATTAACGAATTAAAGTAAATTTGAAATAGGTATATTAGAATTTGCAAAAAAGAAAATATTTGCTTTCATATTATTAATTATGATTTTTATATTTTTAAAAAATTTAAATAGGTCTAAAAATAACTTATTAAGGTTATTTTTTAATATCTTAATTTAAAAAAGTTGATTATTATTTTTTTAATTTAAAAAAAATATTTTATTTTTAAAATAAAAATACTTAAATTAGATTATAAAAAACTAATAATTAATTATACAACAAAGAATTTAACTTTATATTTAATATTATTAATATAAAATTATGTAAATAAAATTCTTATTTATTTATTTAATTAAAATAAAATTTTATCTATTTTATTTTGCAAAATCAATTTTTCTTAAAAATATAATTTTTTTTCCCATATATCATTAAAATAATAAATGTAAAAATTAATATTATTAATTGCTTTATTAAAATATTTTATTCCATCCTATGTATAATAAATGGATATTTTACTTGGTATTCACCTAAGTCTGGACCTTTAAAAATTGTTTTAGATTAGCTTAATGTAAAAATATACATAAAATTAATTAAAGATATAATTTTAAATCAAGCAAACAGATAATAATGTAACTTTGAAACAAGCATGTATAATTTTATCTCTAATAATTTCAAATCTACAATTAGAAACGTTTAGTTTTATAAAATAATTATGATTCTTTAAAATATGAAGTTCTGATTATTTTTTAATAAGAACATATTAAATAAACTTAATTTAAAATATTTGGCTAAAAATAAAATGTTTACAAATAATATTCAGCTAAAAGAAGAATAATTTACTAAAATTAAAAAAATGTATAATAAAATTAATCATTTATATTAATGTAATTTAAACAAAGATATTAATCTCGTTATAAAAATATTCTCTTGATAGTTAAATAGATTAAAAGTATGTATATAGATAATCTATATATTAATTAAGAGATACTAAAGATAGATTAAGTTAAAACCTTATGATTGCTTATCAAACCAAATGTTTGGATCTTATACTATAATTTTTACAAAAATATTTGTGACTTTAAAAATTAAACTAAATATGAGAATTAAAAATAATAAAATTTAAAAATTTAAAAATCTTTAAGAATAACAAAATAATTTAATAATGTTCCCAATAATAATAATTATTATCCCAAAAAATATAAAATATAAATACTATTCTAAAAAATAATAAAATTTAATTAAACTTCTAATAACAAGGCAATTTATCTTAAGTTAATAATATTTAATAGTAAGTAAGTTTATAATAATAAGAAAAATAATAATATCAATAAACAAAGAATTTATATTGAAACTTTAAATATTATATTTTTTTAAAAAAATTGAAATGAAAAGAAAATATAGTTTTATTTATTATCCTTATAACTATAAATTATTTTTAAATTTAATATATAAAATTAATTAAAAATAAAATAAATATGAATTATTATAAATAAATTTGTAGATTAAATAAATCTAAAAATCATATATTTAATTTATTAAATAATCTTAAAATAAAATAAATATAAAACAATTAATTGACATAATAATTTAAGGAAATAATATAATAAAAATTTAATATAATGTTAATATTTTATTTATTTTTATTTTATATTTATATTATAAATTTTAAAGAATATACTCTTTTTATAATTGTTGCATTTAAGTTATAATTTAATATTATTTTTATCCTAAAAATATAAAAAATTGTTATAATAAACAATTAAATGTTATATGCTTAATAAGAGAGAAAATTTCTTTTGTAAAAAGGAGGATAATTAATAATTAGAAAAAAAAGTTCATATAATTTAGATGAAATTTCTTTTATAAAAAATTAAATTTCTCAAGAATAAATATTTTCAAGTATTAGCAACAAAAGCTTAGTAGAATAATCAAATAGTCAAAGTATAAATAAATAGTAATTAAGCAACAGTATTAACATAGAAGAAAATTAAAGAGAAATATCTTTCCATAGTTGTAATTCCGAAATAAACTATAGTTTAAAATAAGATAATATTGAATTTATTAGTTTTGATGAAAAAAGTGTAAACTAATGTAATCATATTTCTAATAAAAATTATTAATTTAAAAGTGCAAATAGCTTCAATGTTGAAAATAAAAGTTTAAAAATGATTAAAATATAAAATTAATAATAAGAATTGCATATAAGTATTGATGAAAACACATAAAATAGTAATTATTAAAACTAATTATTTCAAGTGTTATTATAAGAATAAAAAATATGCTAAAGATAAGATATAAAAAATCAAAAAAACAATAATACCTAAAATCTAAGATTGTAAAATAATAAAAATTTAAATACAAAATATAGTTAAAATAGACTTATATATTATAAAAATTAATTAAATATATACTATAATAAATTAAAAAAGAAATAGCATTTAGTAAAAAACCTTAACTATAATCTAACTTTGCTTGTAAATTATACGCTAGAAAAACATCCTAATTTATAAAATTTACTTTTTTTTAATAATTTAATTAATGTACTTTGTCGCATTTTTATTTATTCATTTTTATTTTCTATTTCTTTCAGCCAAATAACAAATATAAAAACTTTTGTACCTTTATTATTAAGTATAAGAATATTTTATATAATATGCATGGTAAAGATAATATTTTTTGGTAAATCACATTCAATATCTTATATAAAAACATGTAAAATTTTTAACAATTTTTTTACAAATGATGAAAAAGATTACTAAAAATAACCTTTGTTTAAATAAATGATAGATGTATTTGAATAAAAGCAAATAGACAATTAACAAAGAAAATAAAAAATACTATTTATAATCTGCCCGCCTGAATTTAACTTTCTGTCTTTATTTCATTTAGACGATACATAAAAATGGAATTTATTTTATGTTTCGAATTTCGTATTTTAAGGAATCGAAACTATATTTTTAGGACCTTTACTTGTAATTATAAATATGACTAATCTGCACGCAAATACAACTATTAGAGATGTAGATTTTTTAAATTTAGCTTAATATGTATCTATTGGATATTTTGGATTTTTTTTTTTTTTATGTATTCTTTATCTTATATACGGAAACAAAAAGTTTGATTTCTGAAAATATATATATATATATATATATATATATATATATATATATATATATATTTTTATATATATATATATATATAAAATAATTAAAAAATATTTTAATTAATTTTCAAGAATATTAATTTTTTGAGGTTAATAATATTTCCGCCCTTAATTATTTTAAAAAGTTTTTTTTTTAAATGTTCATTTTTTTATGTAATCTTCATTTTATATATTGGAATAAAGAGTTAATTTTTAAATGAAAAAATAAACTTAAAAAATATTTAATTTTCAAGGCGTTTTTTTAGAAGTTTATAGTATTTTTCCCCTTAATTTTTTAAAAAGGTCAACTTTTTTGTAGTTCTTATTTTAAACAAATCCAAATTAAGTTTTAAATTTCTTTAATTTGATATAAAGTTCATCCGGCAAATACTTAGCCTAACCAAGTTTTTTTAAAAAAACCTACCTTGGTTCTTTTTTAATTTCCTAAAATTTATCAAGCATTTCTCCCATAACTTACACATCCGAACTCCTATATGCTGCATCCATCACATAATTTAAAATTTACCAATTCTCTTTAAGTCCTTCAGCCTTCATCCATCCATGTAGTCTATAAATTTACTTCAAATCTTTTTTCTAAAAATACAGTTCCATCAGCAATTCATAAGTTTTTTCATTTTTCTTAATACCATATTAATCATATAAAGGTAAAACAAGCCCATCAATTTTATCATCTTTTATTGCTGCTACATGTACATATAAAAGGGAATTAATTATATATACATTTACCATATTAAGTTCTTTTGCCTTCTCAAATATTTTCCAAGAATCGTTCAAGTATATATCGATTAATTCAGAAGTCATTAAATCTGTCTTTATAGCCCCAGAGTATACTTTAAGAGAACTATTAAGGATATATTGATTTAATTATATATTGTTATTTTTCATTATCTATATAGCATCGTATGCTGTTTTTACATCACCGGCATTATCACAGGCTTTAAAAAGATGTACAAAAGTATCTTAATCAGGATTTATGCCTGTAATTTTCATTTTTTCCCAAAATTCAATAGCTTCATCAGCATAATCTTTTCTACTTCCTAAACATTTTATTATATTATTGTAATGAATGGTTGTAGGGTAAAAATTAGGAAATTATTCTAATTTATTCCATAACATTTTTCCTTTTTCAGCATCTTTTGTCTTTTTTTTATAAAAAAATATATATATTAAATTGTTTACATGTGCTGCTATTTCTATCATAAATGATATTATAGGGATATCTAATAGCTATTTATTATTTTTTTATAAATCATTATATGTTTCCCAACATTTAGTTAAATTCTATGATTTGTAGAAACCATTAATTAATGTTGTATAAGCTGCACTATCTAATTAAAGCCCTTTTTCTTTCATTTCTCTTATTATTCTTTCAGCTTCTTTGGCATCTCCTTTTCTAGCATAGCCCAATAATAAAGATGTATATAAATGTAAATTTGCACCAAATTCTTATATATAATAAATAATATTTTTTTTTTTTAGAAATATACATTATAAAGCTTTATCAAAATAATATTCTGCTTTTTCTAATTTTAAGCTTTTTGAATATACTTTTATCATATTATTATATGTATAAGGGTCAGCTTTAATATCCATAGCCTTTTTTATTATTATTTTTAGAATACTATTTTGATATAATTACTTTCATTAATTCGAATGTTTTTTCAGCTCCTTCAATATCTCTTTTTTCTGATTATATTTAAAGTAAAAAATTAAAATTCTTTATAGTATATGATCTTTTTTGAAAAAATCCTTCAATAGATGTATCCATTTTTTTATAAATATTTAAAGGATTTGTTGACTATAATTTAATTTAAAAACACGTAAATAAATTTAATATTTTTATATTTATTTTTTACTTTTATGGTATCTTCCATTGATTATTTCATATAAGAACCATCATATTATTCTTTGATTAATTATTTAGCTACAATATTAATCTTATCAACTTTGGCTATTTTATTTAAAAAAATATGCTATTTCTATATATATAAGATTAATTTTTTACGAAATTAAGCTTTTTTAACATATTGAATATGTTTATCTTTAGCTTTATAATTATTAGAAGAAACAAAATATTTTCCAAAATTTTTAATGTTTTTCATTTTTATTTAAAGTATTAATTTTATTTTTAATATTTTTTATTAAATTTGTATTCTGTATTTAAATCTTTTAAAAATATTTATTATTAATTTAAAAAAAAAAAAAATTATGCAAAAAAGTAACATTTCTTTGCAATTTTTTTTAATATTATCTGACTTTAGTGCATACAAATATTACATAATATATAAAGCCATTAAAAATTCCGAATATTAAAAATTCAAAATATTATAAATAATAAATATCAGAAATATAAAACAATATAAATAATTAATATATTAATAATTTAATTTTTATTTTATAATTATATCAAATGAATATAAAAATTACAATTAAATTCATAGAAAATTTTTTATATAGATTTTAATTTATATGTATTTAATATTTTTTCATTTATTATAAATAAAAATAAGTTTTTTATATTAATAATAAATAATATTGATTATTTATTTTATAATATTTAAATTTAAAAAATAATGAATAAATTTGTTTAAACAATATTTTAAATATTTTTTAAATATAAAAATAAAAAGCAAGTTTTTAAATATAAAATATAATAACTTTAAAAGCATTATTATATTATTTCTTTTATTTATTTTTCTATTTTTATATATTTACTTGTTTTGATTTTTTTAAAATTGACTAATTATTATATATCTAAACCTATTTAAAATAATAAATAAATATTAAAAATAAACCAAAATAAAAAAAATTAAACAAAAAAATGGAAAACATCACATAAAGCTATTAGCATCCCATAAGAAGATTATGGTGTCATTTATGCAAATACGAATTTGAGTAACCTAATGATTAAATATTTGAATGTACAAAATGCAATAATGATTTTTGCGAATAAATAAATAATGAAGATGATCCAAGAAAATTTGTCCCTTTTGGTGAAGAATAAAACCAAAGAAATCAAATAAATTAAAATTAAAATTAAAGCGTTAATATTCAATAATAACAAAATAGAAATAGACAGAATTAAAGTGTTGGCTTTTCAATATCAATAAATAGTGGGTTAAGGTCAGTTTCAAATATAAATGATATTATAGCAAATTTATTTCCAGTTACAGCTTAAAGATAGTAAATTTATTCTTCAGGTGATAATATAGATAATATTATAGACTTCATTATGAGAAATGATCGCAATGTCTATGGAAATCCTCCTGCTGCTTAAAATAGTATCGAAAGTTTATAGAAAATATATTTTGATAAAGAATAAATTAAAGATGAATTAATGCATGAATGTACAGTTTGTAAAGAAGATTTTAATTAATAAGAAGAAGTTACAAGAATGCCTTGTTAACATATTTTTCATTAAAATTGTCTTACTCCATGGCTTAAATTGCATAATTCATGTCCTACGTGCAGATACGAATTACCAACTGATAATTAAGAATATGAAAGAAGAAAATAATATTAATAATAGAGATAATGATTATTTTTTTTGAATAAAAAAAATAATGGCTTTACTAATTGAATAATAAATCTCATTTATATATGTATTAATAAAAAACATATTTGTATTTTAACTTCATAAATAAAATTATTTTTAATAATTAATATATAAAAAAATATTTATTTATATATTTTTAAATAATTATGTTTCTTATATTCAATTATAGATTTAGTTTTAATTATTTTTAATATAATATAATAATTAAATATATTTATTTCTTACTTTTATACTTATAAAATCTATAATTTTCATTTAATATTTAATCTATATAAATATTTAATAATTTTTATTTAACATTATATTAATTTTTTTTTATAAAACTAAATCCTTGATACTAATAAATTTATATATAATTTGTTCCTTCTGCTAATAATATTTAATTAGATTTTATAATTTTATATAAAATATTAACTTTATATAAATAATTAAATTTGAATATATTTTTATTTGCGAAAACAGTTTTATATTTTATTAAAATATTTGTATATATTATTATTTATTATTTATTATTTAATTAAAAAATATTTGCTTTGTATTTAAATTAATTTGTTTTAATTAGTTTCAAAATCAAAATTTATATTTACAAATAATAAATTAAAAAAATGAATGATTAACTATTGAATTAAACATTATAAAGTACTGATATAGAAGAACTGTAATCTAAAACTATTTCATTAAATAAATATAAAAAAGAACTTTTATATTTATAGTGAATATCCATTTCAAATAGTTTTAATAGGCGATTCAGGTGTTGGAAAAACAAGTTTTTTGATTAGATTTTCTGTTCAAAAAATTAAAAATATACTAAACCAAAATAATTATATTTTTTAAAAAAATTAATTTTTAGGAGGATTAATTTTTTAAAAACGTAAATACATCAGTCGGAATAGATTTCGTATATAAAAAATAAATAATAAATATATAAATTTTGATAGAGATATAGAAGTTTAATTATAGACAATAAGCAAATAAAACTTAAAATAGTATTTAAAAACAAAATAAAATGAAAAACCAATATTAAAAATAAAATAAAAGTGGGATACAGCAGGTTAAGAAAATTACAGAGCAATTTCAAAAAGATATTTTTAAAAAGCAGATGCAGTTGTTCTAATGTTTGATATAACAAATAATGTATTTTAAAACAAAAAAAGTTCTAAATTTTTATTTAAAATAAAAGGAAAGTTTTGGAAATCTATCATATTGGTTAGAAGAGTTAAATCAAAATTGCAAAGATACGAATATTCCGAAAATTTTGGTAGCGCATAAAGGAGATTTAAATTCAAAGCGAACTGTTCATTTTGAAGAAATAGACGATTTTGTTATAGAAAATAACATGGAGTTTATTGAAGCTAGTGCAAAAGAAAACAATAATGTAATAGAAACTTTTGCAAAATTAGGAGAGATTTTAATAAGAATTTATGAAAACGGAGAACTTAATTTCAATAAATATAATAGAGAAATGTTAATAACAAAGTAAAATAAATTAAAAAGTTAAAGACAGTAATTACAATAATGTAAATGTTGTATTAATAGTTGAATATTGTTTATATTTTTTTATATAAAAATCTTTTACTTCTTTAGATTTAATTTTTATTAACAAAAATATTACTTTTTAAAATTATTTTTTCTGTATTTTTTTTTAAAAACACAATCAACAAATAAAAAGGTGAGAAAAAATAGATTATGACCTTTTTTTTTATATAGTTTTTAAAAATAAATTGCAGAAAAAATGGAATAATCATAATAAAAAGTAATATATATAAATATTATATATTAAATTAAATTGATTTTTAATTTATTAAAAAATAGATATATATAAAAGCTAAATATAATTCTAAAAATATTTATATAATTAAATTAAATATTATAATATTGAAAAGACTAAAAATAAATACCAAAAATCAATATATTTATTTCAAAATAAAAATGATTAGAAAAGCATTATTGAATTAATATAATTTATCTTCTTAATACTAAAAAATTTTTAAATTTTTTAGCTGTAAAAACAATAATTATTTTTATCACAATAAATATAAATTAATAAAAAATCAAATAGCAACAAGAAAATATACAAGAGACCATGAATGGGTAGATTATGACATTTCCTCAAAGGTAAATAAATTTTATATATCGAGAAATACAATTAAGTTTATTTATAAAATTAAAAATAAAGACTGGAGTTATAGGAATTACTGATTTTGCAGCTAAAGAATTAGGAGATATTGTTCATATTGAATTTCCTGATATCGGTACGAAATTCACTTTAGGTTAAAGTATTGGATCTATAGAATCTGTAAAAGTAGCGGCTGATGTATATGCTCCTCTAGATGGTGAAATTTTACAAGTAAAATTTTATTTCTTAAATAAATAAAAAATCAAAATTAATGTTTTTTTATTTTTATAAGGTTAATGAATAGGTGACCGAAGATCCTTCCTTAATTAATACAGATGCATTTGCAAGTTGGTTATTAAAAGCTAAAGTTAATAATGACATAGAAATCGAAAAAATGATGGATAAAGAAGAATATTATAAATATGTTAAAGAATAATAAAAAGAGACATAAGATGATTGATATTATATAATTTTTATAAATAAAATTATTAAATTTATTTTGTATTTATTTGAAAAATTTTTAATAATATCTTAGTTATTATATTTATTTATATTAAAATTTAAATAGATATATTATTATTAACAAATATGTAATTAATTTTATAATAATTGTTATATAATTAAAAACTAACATATAAATAAACAATAATAATATACAAAAATTATTTAAAAATAATAATTTTTTGTATTTAAATATTAAATTTTATAAATAAATGTTTTTAAACTTTTTTAATTAAATATTATTTAGAAGAATAAATAAATATAATTAATGAGTAATTTTAATATTTTTATTTTTGAATAATCTTTTATATTTTATTATTTTAATTATTAAAAAATTATTGAAACTAACTAAAATAAAGATGAGAAATAATAATTACTTCATAGCTTTATTGATGAAAATTTATTATTACATTCTTTATGTCCCTTATTTATATTTAATAATTAAATTATTATAAACTATTAAAATATTAAAAAATACCAATAATAGACGTATTTTTTATAATATTATAAAGTAATTTTTTTTGTATAATATATTTTATAAAAAATTATAATAAATAATATATTTTGTAATATAAAAGAGTTATAATATTTTATTTATAATTTTTTAAAATAATATTAAATATACATAATATAAATATACAGATAATTAAAATATTAATATAATGTATTAATAAATACATTATGATAATCATTCTATATAAAAGATTAAATTCTTAACTAAATAATGATATAAAAACATGTTATTATTTTGAAAAATATAATTATAGAAATATTACAATATTTTCTTATAATAGTTAGATTATATTATATTAATAAAAAAAAAAATTAATAATAATAATAATAATAATAATAAAATAAAAAATATTTATATATATTTAATATATTATTATAAATATTATATATAATATAAATATATTATAAATTAATTTTTTATTTAACTAAAATAT